ATAGCGCCTTCCTGCAGCAAACACTTCTTATTCAGGGCTTCCTTCATCTTCAAAACCGTCAGGTTGGTCCATGTAGATCTCCCTCTTCCACTTCGCCGTAGAGAAAACGCTGTGTCGACATCAACGTTTTCTGCTTCCAGGTCTTCGGCTGCAGCGATCGCCAACACTGTGTTGATAGATTCCTTGCGCGCCACTGGTGCAAAGGTCTCGTTGTAGTTGATACCAGGACGCTGCGTGAACCATTTAACAACCAAGCGTGACTTGAACTTGATGATCTCCCCCACTTGGATCGCGTTTGATCTTGAAGACCCACTTGCAGCCTAAGGCCTTCTTGCCCGGTGGCATGTCCACAAGCTTCCATGTGCTGTGTTCTTCAAGCGACTTCATCTCGCTCTTCATTGCCTGTAGCCACTGCTCCTTGTAGCTGCTCTTCATTACTTCTTGATAGCTGGACGCTTGTTCCCCATCTTCTTCAGCCGAGAAACAGTAGAAAGAGTCGAAGTCACCTTCGTAGTCGTCCAAATGGAAGTGACCGCGACGATGGCTTGGAAATTCTTGTTCGTAGCGAACCACGCCGCGCTTCTTCCGAACCGGTCGCACCATCCACTCTTCTTCTCCATTTCTTCCGGGTGTGCTGGATGCGCGCGTAGGAATGGTGTCGCTTGGTCGATCACTTGGTCCGGGATGAGAGCTGTTCTGCGCTCGAAGTGGTGGGGTGCGTAGCTCTTCTTCGGTCACCGGCGCTGGTTTGTCTTCATCATCGGGTAGCGACGCCTCCACACTTTCCTCTTCTTCAATGACATCGAACACCCGCGTGTCTCTGCTTATCGATTTTTTCGAGACAGAATTCTCAGCGAACGTGACGCTTCTTGAAATCACGATTGAGCCAACGTCCGCGTCAAGAAGCCGATACGCCTTTTGGTCCTTCGCATAGCCGAGAAAGAAACATCGCAGGCCTGAGTCGTCCAGCTTCTTCCTCTTCTCCTTCGCCACATGCGCATAGCATTGCGCACCAAACACGCGCATGTGATCGATGCGCGGAACCTTCTTGAACACCATCTCGTGTGGGCTTGAGCTCTTGTTCGACGCGTTCGGCAGAATGTTTTTGATGTCTGCCGCTGTCATTAGTGCCTCGCACCAGTACAACTTTTCGAGACCGCTTTCCTTGAGCATACAGCGCGTCATCTCCACCAGCGTGCGGTTCATCCGCTCCGCCATCCCGTTCTGCTCTGGATTGTACGGAACCGTGAACTCTTGCTTGATGAACTTTGCCTTGCAAAAAGTTGTTCATCGTTGCGTTCCGGTATTCACCGCCGTTGTCACTCCGCAACACCTTTATCTTCGTTCCAGATGCTGTCTTGATATCTTGGTAAAAACCGCTTGAACGCACTCGGAACGTTGCTATTCTTTCGCAACGGATAGACCGTTACATACCTGCTCTTCATCATGATGAAGGTTACGGCGTAACTGAAACCAGACTTGGACGCTGGTGTGATAGGACCGAGAACGTCGGAGCACACCACCACGTCGGAACGCAAACTCTCACTGGTTTCAGCGTCTTCTTCACTTGTCTTGAATGACTTGCGCACTTGCTTTGACGTTGCGCATACGTCACACGCAACGTTCGTCTTCATCGTTGCGCCCTTGATCCTTCCGTCCTTGACCATGGCATTCAGCGTACCATACGACACGTGACCCAATCTTCTATGCCATAGCTCTGTATCGTCTTCGGCCATGTGGCACTCCGTACCACAGTCAGCATTGAGATACAGGAGGAACCCCTGCTTCCTTCCTGTTGCGACGGGTGTGCCGCCACGCTTGACCACGCACTCGTTGCGCGTTATCTCCACTGTCATGCCGCGCGCTGCCGCAGCCGTGAGCGAAAACAGGTTCTTGGACAAATCTTGAACGTGAAGTGTGTTCTCAAGGCGAGCGTCGATCCACGCATGTCCTGTCCAGACGCGCAGCTTCACTGTCCCATGTCCGATGACATTCAGCTTCACGTCGCTCTTTGCGCTTGAAATGCTTCGCGCATGATGCACTTCTTCGTACTCTTTGAACGCATCTCGATCCTTGCACATGTGTGCTGACGCGCCACTGTCCATGACCCAGCTGTTGCTCGCGAAACCTTCGCTGGCATGAAACGCGACATTCGACTGGTCATGCTGTTGCTCCCTTGGCCCTCGACCGGAGCGACAATCTCTGGCGTAGTGTCCGACCTTGCCACAGTTGTAGCAGGTCCCTGATGGTCCTTTCGCGCGCCGTACTTGTTGCTTCTTCGGGTACTGCTTACCCTTCCTCTTGCCTGCGTAGAGCGCCGTCGCATCTTCTACCCGTGCAGCCTCATTCTGGCGCACTTCTTCGGCGATCAACTTGCTCACGAGGTCACTGAAACTGAAGCTTGCGACGGACATGCGGAATGCCTGTACCAAGCTCTCGAAGCTTGAAGGTAGACTCCGCAACAGTACTGCGCACACGTCCTCTTCGCTTGGACCGTAGTTCGCGCGCTTCATCTTCATCACGAGGTCCTCCAGCTCCATCACATGACCGCTCATGCTTGATGCTGCATACTTGAACGACGCGAACTTTTCCTTCAGCCAAAGTCGATTCGCCATGTCATGACTGTGATGAAATCGCGCCAGACGTCCCCACGCTTCTCTTGCGGTGGCCGAGTCGATGACATGCATCAACTGTGAATCGCTCAGATTCAGCACGATCGCGGCGTGGGCTTGCTGTTCCTTGGCCTCACTTGTTGTCTCATCGCCCGCGATCGCGCCCCACAGCCCCTTCGACATCAGGTACATCTTCATCTTGTAACTCCACAACCCATAATTCGAGCCGTCGAAAGGCTCGACCTTGAAACCGGAGTCGTTACTTGGGCTCATAACCTGTAAGAAGTAGGAGTTAAGTAAAGTAAATGACTTGTATATTACCGCGCACCAGACGCGTTTCGGCCCCCGCCGGGGGCCTCATCAGTGGTTTGTCAATCTACAAGTGAGAACTATCCATACGTCTAGCTGCCGTACGACCTATAATAATGCATAGAACCCTAAAGAACATTCTAGACATACCCTATCATGGGTCGAATCTCTGGAGTCGAATCCAGTGCGTCATGCACTTACAACACTGTTGATATCGCACGGAATCGGACAATCTTGTCAAATATGCTTTACCAAAGCTATCTTGGTAGCTAGTAAATACATAATATCCTTCCTCGATACGACCAGTTCGATGGAGTCTTGTCGGCGCTCCGTCCTACGTCACTTGCACATCCTTGTGTCGTAGGTCTACAGCTGATGTTCTTCATGCGACTTACGGATGGATCACTTTGACTCGTCGGCTTGCAACGAGAGAAATTCGAGTTAGGTGCAAGCCTCATTTCACACTCTCTGACTTGTCTCTCTGATGATGCCGCTTGAATTATTGCGCGAAAAAGATGACCCTTGCATGTGTGCGCACGTACCTACGTATTCTAGTGCTTGCCAAAACAAGACCCTTTTCTTCGGAAAGACACACAATTTTACAAATCGAAAGAGGATTGCATTGATATGTGAATCCAACACGGGTTCATCGGCAAAGACTAAAGTGCCTTCATCTGTAACGAAGACTTTTGATGCTTTGGTATGGCACCCACCCAAGTGTTGGAGCTAAAAGGGTCGAGAGCAGTACAGTTTTTGTGTGCAAAGCAATGATTTATAGTTTATGATAACCCTACCCCAGACATCAGCGCGCGGCTGGCGCAATGGATAGCGTATCAGACTTCGAATCTGGGGGTTGCGGGTTCGAGTCCCCCGTCGCGTAGTTGCTTTGACCGACAAAACACACTCTTTACCAAATACCGAACCTGACAAACCGTGATCAGAGGAAAAGAGAAGTAACGCAGTATCGCAGGCAGCATCGATGTACTGAGTGACTGCTTCCCACCCCACTTCACAAGCTCCACTTCATAGAAAGAAATTCTTCATCATGGCAATATGCGTGCGCTTGCTTCCGACACAGGATGCTCTCCCTAGTAACTGTTGGAAGTGGAGTTGTTATAGCGGACACTCCCTTCCGGGTCGACGCCCCACTTGCCAGGTTTAGTAGTTACAGTGGGTGATTTGTGTGTTTACACTAAGTTCTAGAAGAATTTTGGTTTGGTAGTGCACGATACAGAAAGATCTCACTTCTAGATTGGATAAGCTACTGACGAGGCCCCCGGCGGGAGCCGAAACGTGTCTGGCGTTTTAATACAGAAGCCTTTCATTACATCTCTTTGATTTCCAACAGTAACCTCAACGTGTACGCGATATCAAACGCAAGACACTTCACGCGAATCGAATGAGTCACTAGGGTGATAACTCACTGGGAAAGTGAGTCACTAGGGCGATAATCCACTGGAAAGTGCAATGCAGATTGGCACTTGTTCATTCATCTTGTGTCAAAACGTATCTATGTCAGCACAACACAACGGAGAGATTGGACGATCACTACTGCCAAAACCCTCGTTCGAAAGACCATCGAAACATAAACAAACTCACAGTCATGAAAAGTGAAGTCTATGCGGAAAGCAAAGCTGGGTGTTCAGACAGAACATAAACTTCGTAGCGGCACGGTTTCAGAACGTGAATGACCTCAATAGGAGCCGAAGTTGCCAGTCTGAAGATATCGATCAGGCGAGAGCAGATACCGTAAGATTTACTTGTAAAGAGAGCTGTTGCAGATCTTCGTCTCCATAATTAGCGGTTGATGCCCTTTTATCGAAAGAGGGCGGCCGACAATCACGAGAGGCAGACCAGGCAGATTTTGTCGGCCTGCGCGATCAGAGCACAAAGCTCAAGACAAATGGTGAGAAGTCGTGCTGCTGTGGCCAATTTGTTGATGTTGTTTGCACCAGGTGCAGGAGTCGTTGAGTTCATGTTTGCGTCAATGCGAAGAATGAGTCGCTGATGTTTCCGCGAGGTAGTAATCACAACGACACAAAACATTTTCTCTATGCGCACATGTCGCATCACCGATTCTTAACACTCCTTTTAACTGAAATACCGCGAAACGTCTGGATCTTCGATGAAAGGTAGCCCAAAAGGCGGACAGTAATATTGGGCTCGCTGGAGATGCGCAACTTCGTCAACATGGGATTGCTGGAAAAGGAGCTGTCATAGCGGACACTCCTATTTTGGTAAACTCCTCAGCTGCCAGTTGTGGTGATTATTGTGTGGTGGTTGTGTGGTAACTGTAAGTACCAGAATGTGTTTTGCAGGGTATAGTGCGTGATAGAGTCTGTAGTGCGTAATACAGCAGAGCTCACTTCTCATTGATCAAGCCGCTAACGAGGCCCCCCGGCGGTGCCGAATCGCGTCTGACCCGCATTTCAATATAGAAGTCATTTATCATTTTTCTTACTTTCAAGCAGATGTAGCACATGGACTCCATTACGACACGGATCAGATGACACTGAAATCAAAGTTTGAGAAGTGATCAGGAATTAGATACCCCGGTAGTCCATGCCGTAAACGCTGATTGCTAGTATCTCGGAATTTTTGATATGACAGCTAACGCGTTAAGCACCCCCTCCTAAAAAGCATAATCGCAAGATTGAAATTCAAAGGGATCAATGGGAGGCTACACAAGCGGTGGTGCATGTGGTGTCATTCAATAATACGCGCAGAACCTTACCAACCCTTGCTAATTTTGGTCAATTTTTATGAAAAGAACAGGCGTTGCATGACTGTCGTCAGCTCGTGGTATGAAATTTTAGGCTAAATACTTTAGCGAGCGCAACCCTTATCGTTAGTGATTCATTTCTTTGTATACTCCATTGAAAAAATGAACAGGCGTCCTCAGGTCGGGCGGTCGAGATATTGATATCTTGTCTAACGGAGGCCAAGCAGGTATTAGAGAACATCGAGCAATTCAGTACACATGCCATAATACGTGGGGTGGCCATGTGTGAGTGCACTGAGCCAGGGCTGAGACGTTTAATACGATGATCTTTTTTCGTGTCAGTGTGTGCTGACTTCGTGTGTCAGCAAAAGTTTTCGACCGCAATCAGGCATGTCAGCAAACATTAGATCATTTTACGCTGGAGTGACGTTTGCTTGGGACCTGTCCTGTTGATATCGCACGGAATCGGACAATCTTGTCAAATATGCTTTACCAAAGCTATCTTGGTAGCTAGTAAATACATAATATCCTTCCTCGATACGACCAGTTCGATGGAGTCTTGTCGGCGCTCCGTC